TGACAAATATGATTGAAAGGCACTTATACATAATGAGAAAGTTTTCGAGATGGAGACACACTACTTAAAAACGTATGTTTTTGAACTTACCGAACAAACGTTCACACACAGGGGTAGGTTGCATGCGTATGCATGAGGGAGATGGAGATATATAAAGCGATACTGGTAGTCTTACTTTAATCTGCTAAGAACGATGACTGCAACTATATATATTGTCGAATCTTAATGTCAAAATGATCTTGCTAGATCTGAATCGTGAGAGAGAACCTGAATAGACAGACAGACTCCTAAATCCGGTTTTTCATGTTAGGAGTTTCAAATCCAAACTCAAGTTCAGGTAGTGGAAGGTAAAATTTCTTGCTTAACGCAAAAGGCACATATTTGTGCGACATGCTTAACACTGGAATATAGGCACGCAAGCCGGAGGTACTCTTTTCATACCGAGCAGTCGTTTCCTGAAACAGCTACTTATTTCAGAACTTAATTAATGATAATATCTACATTTTGACGAAACATGATAAATAAGCTCAACTTTCATACTATCAGTTTTTTGACATTGTTACAATTTTAGCTTGATATAAAAATAAATATTACTGGAAAGCGCTGAGGCGAAAACCATGGACTAATCAAATTCAAGCTAATTCCTCAAATTTTGAGATAACGTTTTAGTTCCTTTTTAATAATATATTTAGCATAAATATGAAACATGTCAAGTTGACCATAAGACTAACTCTGTCGAACCTCGTATATCTAGGACTAGCCAGTGTGACCGCAGCTTTGTTCCTACGTTGTAGAAATTGTGAGACAATCTGTCTGGGGTGGTTTTTCCCATATCTATCAAACATGCTGCAGAGCCTAAATTGTACGCCATTTACTTTTAATTGTCATAATTTGATTTACAAAAACGGTTGGTCAAATGTACCGGACACTAATGAAAGTAAATATACTCCAAAGTAACGCTAGAAGGCATCAGGTATTATTTGATTCAAGTAATTTTTAATGAACTACCTCAAGCAGGTCAAAAATCTATTAGCAAGATGGCTTGACGCTCTTTGTAGCATTCGCGGTGCCTCTGTATTTAGGTTTTTGAACTCATCCCTACTTGGTTGCACCAGTATACAAATGGAGTCTATGTAAATGTTAGAGGCATTGTCTCAGGAACAAATCAATTTCATACAAACATCGCAGGCATCTGTTGGCATAATAATACTAACCTTTTGCGGCGTACTGATTTTCTAGGACGACTACCAACTCATAATCAATTAAGTTGGCTCCTAAAGGTATATTGACATTACTATAGTAATTAATTGTTGCCTCTAATTTAGGTTCTTTCGGCAGTGAAATGATTTCTGCTTTATACAAATGGTGTGTGATTTGGCAAGGGGATAGTCAACTAGTAGTAATAGTAATGGTGGGGAGGCGAAGCCTGGCAATAACTTTGAGCCTTTTTGCCGGTCCCATAGTACCAACTCGGTACTACTCCACAAGCCATCAACTGGTACCTATTGTAAATATTGGACCCACGTGATATAGACAACATCCATGGCTTGGAATTAACATCCGAGGCGGAGATTCGAACCCGCGTGCCCCGCGTTGCTAGCTCGGCACGCCCTTTACCGAGCTATCGAGGGGGTAGTCAAGTTACAGGACGAATCTCTTCATTAGGTAGGCATCATCAAGCCAGTGTTGCCATTCATACTACCTATGAGGAACGGCAGTATTCTGCTTAAGACGTATCATTAATTCACGTTTATTAGCTTGATCTGTATGTATGTATGTATTTTCACCAATTTCCAGAAGTTTGATCAACATGAAGCTTCGCACACGTATCAAGGATCGATGACATTGCAATAATTTGATAACAGTTTTCAATTATCCTTATTAGGACCACCAGGATTGATAAATTCTTTTATAGATCCTTTGTAGGGGAGTAAGAGAGATGATGCTTGCGCGCGATCTGCGCATGCGTGCAGTTTCGGACTTACTCTTTGTTGGTGTGGGCACTCGGCACAGCCCATCGGAGGCAGATACTTTTTCAAGGTAGTGCATTCTCACCTTGTTCATTTACCTAGGCTCGCGACTGATTGCTGCTGGACAAGCTTATGTAGCACTTAGTCATCTCAGATCTTTAGACAGTATTCGGATTGAAGAACTTGATTGCTCCAAGTTAACAGGGAAAACCCCATGCAACAGTCAAGCTTTAAATGAAATGACTAGATTGCGAAATGATTCGTAAGACATTTCAATACCACATGTCCACAAAAAAATAATTTATAAATTGATCTAAAAATTGAAAAATAAATAATAGTTTAAAAAAACTAAAAAAAAAACACGCTTTTATAGCTAACCGAACTGAAAAGTAGAAAATAATTTTTAATTGCAAAGAGTTTGTATTACGGTAGTAGCTAGTCGAACAATTCATAACTAATGACCTTAAAATAAAATTATAATAGAATTTAAGTGATTAACAGAATAATTCAATACATTAGAACTAATTCAATATATACCTATAATATAAAATGAACGATTTCATAATAAAAACGTAAGCCTCGCCGCTCAAGGTTAAATAATAACTACATGTTTGTATAAATTGTAACCAAACCCAAATTAAAAGCGACCAGACCATACATAATTTTAGGTTTTTTTTATCGAACCTTTTTCATTTACAAACAATGCTGCCTTTGGGCTATTAGCCGCTGGTTCAGTTTACAACTTATATAACATGTATGTATTTCAGACACCTGACAATACTACGTTGTAGTTTGGGCCTTACGAATTTTATAACGTTAAAATTACTATGTTACTATTTTCCTACATGGTTTATAACAGACTAAAGGAATATTTACGTCTTATCTACTAAAAAGTTTATTACTACTAACAACTAAGTAGTACCTAGTAGCAATATTTGTATTTGCATGCAGATGTGAAAGATCCTATGTGCCGTAAAGCAGTAGGCAATATTATTAGCAATTAGTCAATATTAACAACACGTAAAACACGTCTAAAGTACCATATACATAACTAATAAATTATAAACTGAAAAAACATATTCCATTATTTAAATTTGACTTTAAGCCGTAATGAAGCAGTAGGTATAACAATATGTAATAAAGAGGGGTTTTGAAGACAACATAAATAGGTGCTTAAACATGGCGTTAAATAGAGTGACTTTATACTTTCTACGCCTAATAAAACAACTTCTAGTACATGTAGTGCAATGGTATCAAAAAACGTAGTTTTTGTCAGTATTAGTGCACTATAAGGAGTTTTTATTGAAAATTTTTGCTCGGATTGCAGCAATGAGCATCTCCGTACACGGTGTAGAACTGTTTGTCAACAATACTTGATAAGTAATCATAATAGATTTTGATACGTACTCGATAGAGTCTTTATAGTATATAACTACCTCACAATGAATATATAGATAATATCGCGCTCACCTCGTATGTGCTAACGCAACACCAGGCTGTCTGCTGCTCTCATACACTACCAAAGATGCAATATTTACAATTCCGTGGTGCACGGCTAGTGCGACAGATAGGTTCGCGATCCGTCGGCTGAAAGTAACTTTCCAAGTTTTAAGGTAAAAAAATGTGCATGGCAATCGGTGATGTGTGAAATATGTCTAATAGGTGCGTAGAATTACCGGAGTTGGAAGTGTATTAATATACATCTAACCGCTTACTAAGAATGTTTAATCGAATATGTTTCTTCTTCACCGGCTACTATCAGTTTGACACGATACTTGGTCGAGTCCACTTCGTGACAATTCACTGCTCAAAATCCAAAGATCCAATGACTGGTTTGGTTACCATCTCAGATCTAGCAAGATATACAGCAATATGTATCATTTTATTGAAAAAAAGTTGCAGTCTTGGACGTCTAGGAAGAGATCTATAAAAGTAATCATATATACAGTTTCATCGTATCAGAAATCATCAGTAAGACAGAGATCATTGGCCAAAGACTAATGAAAAAACACTGTCAGTAGGTATCTGGATAAGGTAATTTCAAAACTGTATTATGAGTAATGCAAAGAGAGGTTTTATTATAACCAGCAAGCAATTGCAAAAAATTAAAGTGGAGATTGGAGAACCTTCTTGTAGATCAAGGCAACGATGGTTAAAATTTGCCTGGGATATTTGCTGTCCAGTAAAAATCTAGAGAAAGAAAGGTAAACAGGGTAGGACTTCTGCCAGATGTCACAATTAATTTTCGTAACATACCAGGCTGTATTACATATATGCCATAGCTACCGTGAAAAGATCTAACAAAAACGGTTTTCATACACGTTTTGAACGGAAAAGTATTAAAAATATATTGTTCAGAATCTCTAATAACACTGGTCAGCCTGATAAAGTAAAAGTGTCATGTAAAAAAACGGATTTGGACTTTATTTAGAGGGGCTATGTTTTTGATGTTAAAATTTGTTGGTTGTATTAATTACAAAGGATTATTTGATAATTGGTAGTAGCTCCTCTAACATAAGAGCTTTATTTCAACCAACTGGACCAGCTCTTATTTCGAATTCATATGGTGTTAATACCTAGAAAGCTGCTAAAAGTTTATTTGGAAGCAATGGTATGGATAGGAAGGAGCGTTGGTGAAAAAGCTCCCCAAATATGGGAGTAGTATTTCAGGCAATTTATGTTGTGTAGCCAGTTGTTATGAAGGTTTTATTTAAATAAATTAGAAGACGTTGTCATGTGTGTTCTATTGAAGTGGTGTTAATATTTTACTGAAAACGCCGTATTTGGAGTATGTATGTAAAGATGGTGAGAAGGCGTAATGTTATTATAAAGATGGTGAGAAGGCGTCATGTTATTATTAAAATGATGTTAACAATTGTATGGTGGTTCATGAAGTAACTTTTTCAACGTAAGAATAGTAGATATAGGTACCTACTAGACAACGTCGTTGGACAATTTCGCTCATTTTTGTTTGTGACCTAGAGACAAACTTATGAACTATCTCTGATTATACACCTAGTGGGTACTAACCGTCACCGGAGCTGATCTTCTCCTCTCCTCCAGTTTCCGTGGCACCCCTCCTGGCCATAATCGCCGCAATAGAAAAGTCCGTCGCTCTGTGATTATGTCCTTTGGGCAAGAGCCCAGCGGGCGACTCCGGCACAGCACCTAACAACATGTCGCACACACTATAACCCGATTTGAATACAGTACCACCCCGCGGGGGTTGATTTGATCAAGCTATGCACCCCTTCTGTCAACGACGACTCATGTACCGACCGACACGATAACATATCCAACACTACGGACGGACTGGTTTGGCTGGCCGACGCCCGTTGGTATAAAGAGTGGGGGGAGGGAGGGCCCTCCTAGGGGCGTGGTTTAGGCGCAGGGGGGTGTGGCGGTGGCAGTCAATCGCGGTAACGGTGGCGACGGTTTGATGAGTTCGAAAAAGAGGGGACAGGTTGTGGAGAACACCCAGTAGCTGCTGGCGAGGGACGTTGTCTAGGTGGAAGATTGCTTTTGGGGCATGATAGGGTGGATAAGGGGTTAGGGTTTTCAGACAGGTCGATTCTACGAGTATCTCGGAGCATTGTCAAGCAACAATATTTATATTTAGCTATCAGTAAGAGACTTGCATAACAGCGATAGGGACACAGCTAAAAGATAAGTAGATATACATAATATTTAGAATGGCTCAGATCATTTTTTGTCCAGTCACTTCACGTCAATAGCCTACCCAGCTCAAAACATAAAAAAAAAGCTTGGTCTAACTAAGCTTGATGCTTTTCTTTCTATTTGCATTTCATTGTTTAGCCATTTATACAGAGCCTTCCACGACGATTGGGAATTCATATTGATATGGAAAACTACTAGGATTACTTTTTTGAAACATTCAAGGAAACACTGTTTTTTGGAGTAAAAATATAGTCATTTGCAATACTTGAAAGCAATATTTGAGACAATAGATGACAAATGTTTAGATACTATACTCCAAATTTTACATACCTACCTATTTTTTGGGCGTAAATATTCCTCAAAATTCAAACATGGTGCTCATTTTTTCAGTCAAGTAACAATATGAACTGTAATCGCGAAAAAAACTTCAAATGGAAGAATAATTTTCAGATATAACATTGGTCCTTCATAAATTGGAAAGTATCACTGGAAGAAAAACTATAACTCCCAGAAACATGACTCTTTTTTTTTCGTTTCTGATGATTTCGAATGCAATAAAAAATTTCCTTAGAGGAGCCAAATTCAGAAAGAAGTTAAACTTTGTTTGTTGATATATTTCAAGACGTAGTCAAGAGTTTATTTGAAGCATTCAAAGATTGTGAAATCCGACACAGCTGGTTTTTCAAATTTTAAACATCCAGTAACTTTTGTATGCGTTGAAAAATCGGGAAACTGCTGTTGCAATATGTTGTTATCTAGAAACGTTACAAAACATATTTGATCAGGCTAGCCAAATGTGTTGTAAAAGAAATTGTACAGAAGGGTTTATATATTTTGTGGAGTGGCCTAAGGCCTCCCCTCTCCAAATAGAAAATTCTGGGCAACGTGCTTTGCAAAACTTCAAAGCTATGTCTTTAGAACAGCTGCGAAAAAGATGCACCTTCAAAATGAGATCTAAGTTCCAGTTCATAAGGGTAGATTGGTTATCGCAAAAGATCATTTTTTTTGCCGAAAAGTGGATGAGTAAATATGAAATAGTTGAATTCTTAGTATGCAATTCGAGAATATCTCCATTAGGTACTATAAAAAGTAATCAAAAATGTTATTTCCAAAAATTGTTGACTATATTCCTACTTGGAATATACCGCTCTCTACAGGGTGATTCATACAGTCATGACAAAAGAAATGATTTTTTTGGTACGTACATCATTTAGAATATTCTTATATACCTCTTCAAATTCCGAAAATAATTTCTCTTTGTCAATATTTATTCCTTGTTTCGATACAATTACTTGAAATTTCGTCATGTAGCCAACAATAGTTTTATAGGATATGTAGTACCTAGATTGTTCTAGAATGATTTGAAAAAACTTTTTTTCATAGTTCAACATTGGGCTCTCCGAAACGGTAAGAGATACGGGTCAGTTGAATGGTGGCAAAGTTGAGTATTTAAATATTTTAGAAAATGCATTTGAAAGGTTTTGACCTATCTTCGGAAATACACGGAAAAGGGAACGAATTTTCCCAAAACCGCTTCTAAGCTATTGGGGAAACTGCCCTCCTTGCCCCCCTTGGAACGCCCTTGCTACACGCCAACCCCTCCATTGGTTTTTTTCTGTAGACAAAATACTAGTATGGTTAAGTAATTTCATGCTACTATTACTTCTACTACTATTTGTCGTTGTTTGTTAAAGCGGTCCGATGGACCTTTGCCCTTAGTTAAGTTAAGTCTCAACGGTCTGTTAGTATGTCAGGTCTGGTTATCCAGATACAAGACAATCTCAAGGGGAAAGGGAAAGAAAGGTATAGAGCAAAGAAAATAAGTAAATCAGTTAAAGTGGAACAAGCTTAAGCATTACTTATTTGACTACTCGATAATTTCATTCCAAAAAAATAATTCAGATCGGTTTTGTGAAGAAATAATTTTCGTTCGTCAGAAATTCACAATTTAATTTTCATCGCTGTGCGAGGCACGGTCTGGAGTCTAGAATGTTTGCGAACTTGTTCGACTGTCTAGTCCACTCAGGCGCGCTACAGAGGGTTGCTGTACAATTTTGCTTAATTATAATTTCATGCTTTTGACGATGTAGGTATACAAGGTGTCCCAGAAGTAACACGCCAGAGTGACACGGCAGGTAGATTAGCTTCAGATCAATCAGATAAAATCAACTTGACCTTAGTAAAAGTTTTCTGGTTTTCGAGATATTGGCACTTTGAAGTTTGATTCAAAAACTCCCTACTTTTTGCTCCTTTTTTCCTGTTATTGCTATAAACAACTTCTTACTAATGATTTTTTTCCTGGGCTACCATTAATAGTTGGTTGAATCAACAAAGTATTAATCTCGTTGAAAGCTAGCACGGTATGCTAAAAAAAGGATTATTACATTTTGTTTGTGAAAACCTTTACTAAAGCTTGACTAACTACTATGAAAAAAATGTACCAGACTGAATCGGCAAATAATCTTAAGAAATAGCCTATTTAATATTCTTTTAAAAATATTATTTGTAGTATTTGCAAGTATAACGACTTCAAGGACAAAACTTGGAATTATTCAGTTTTTAGTAAAAAAAATCTACTATTTTTGAAAGAGCATTAAATAGGCTAGTTTTTAATGTCATTTGCTGATTCAGTCTGTTTTCAATGAAATGAATACTCTGTTGTCTCAACCAACTATTAATGGTAGCCCGGGAAAAAAATCGTAAGTTAAAGGTTTTTTAGAGCCATAAAAGGCAAAAAAGAGCAGACAGAGATTTTTTGAAAAAACTTAAAAGTGGTTATATCTTGGAAGCTAGAAAACACTGACGTGTTACTTCAGGAACACCCTGTATATAAATGTGTGTTGAAAAATGTCTAGCATCCAAAATATACATTTAGATGAATGTATGTATAGGATATATTAAGAAATATATTTGAAACGTTTTTTTTAAGTGGAAAATTACTCGGATCATTTCAACAAAACTTTGTCGGTGACCCCGCAGCATTTCTTAGAGATTCCTTACACTTTGCATTGATAGTTTTTAAGTTATACCTAGTTGGGTACCAAAATGGAATTACGTACGTACACTACTGATTCTGGGCGATGTATGATGAGATCCGTGTACGATGTTATGGTAGATACTCTCTTCCATTTTGCTATGTTTCAACAACGCCACTGAGTTATAATTCAACATACAGGGTGGGGTGTTGGAAACGGTAGGAAATACGAACAAAACAATTAGAAGTCGAAAGAAGCAACCTCGAATTGAAAATTTGAATACGCCGTCTTGTAGGTAGAGGAGAAAAAATGGCAATGACAACGTGAAATTTATTTCGAAATCGCATCTCAAATAAAGCAAGGAAAAAATAAAAATGATTTCCTGGTAAACTTCTTATACCAAAAAAATGACAATCTGATAGTTTCAAGGCCTACCTAGGACAATCTGTTTTTCTTTTTTTTTTTTAAATAACAGGTTTGCCAATGTCCATGTATGACATATTATATAATTTTGGAATCAGAATTAAAAACTATATTCAACTATGCAAAAATCCAATATGACGTCCTTGAGAAAAAATAAATTTGATGCTGGAAGACACTAGACGAAACATCATATTAAAATTTTGATTGTTATCTTGTAAAGGAGAAAAAGTGGCCATGTTAATATGCAATTTATGTTGAAGTTCCACTACAAATAAAGTCAGTAAATAACGGAAACGATTTTAGGAAATTTCGTTTTTTTTCGTCTCTCTCCGGAAATACTTCGAAATTTGAAATTTTTTAAGCGACATTTTGTTACGTACCTAAATATGCAATTTTGACCCCAATTAAGCGACTTCATATCTCTTACTGTTTCCGAGATCTCAATGGCGAGGATCAAATTTGAAACACTCGGTATATGACTTCCTGGAATATCTGACACAAATCAGATATTTGGATGCAGGACAAGTCTTCTGTCCCAAACATTTCGCGATAGGTACATTTTCTCCATCACTGGCAGACTAAATATACTAAGTGACATATAAATCCGAACACCCAGTTTAAATGGTTTTATTTCAATAAAAGTTGGTGAATGTATGTATCTTAATGTAAATAACAAGTGAAAAAAATTTCAGTCTTATCAGTTGGACATTCCGGTTTTTATACTGCTTTTTCTTAATTCACTAACGCTCTAAAAATGAATATTTCAGCCGCAGTAAAGAATCAACGTTGGCGGATTTTGGTTCTTGACATCCTTTACGATCGGTTACGATGCCTAGAGTACGGAGACCTGTTCGATTTCGTCAACTTAGTGAGTTTGATAGGGGCGGTATAGTGGGACTTCGGAAAGCTGGACTTTCTTTTCGGGCAATTGCAGTTAGAGTGCAAAGAAGTGTAGACACTGTGGTTAGGTGTTGTCAGGCATGGCTTCGAGAAGGCCGTACGCAAAGAGCAAGGGGCACTGGTCGCCGTCGTAGAACAACAGACCGTGAAGATCGCCGCCTAAGATTATTGGCCTTAAGGGACCGTTTCTCCACTACCAAAT